TCACCTTTCTTGTGGATTGGGCAGAGCACACTTAAATTCCAGTCGTCGGGCATGCGTTCATCTGACCATATTCTGCACAAGAGTTGATGCATGCACCTTATCAACTCCTCGCCGCCGTACATGAATAGCTCAGCTGGCAGGCTGTCAGCTCCAGCGACTTTGTTGTTTTTCAGCCGCGTTATTGCTATACGTACCTCGTCATAGTCAAGCGGTGGAACGTCGACTCCGTCATCATCGACTGCGGGCTCGGGTTCTTCTTCTCCACAACTTTCCGTGCTGCTACCATTTAGTAGGGCGGAGAAGTGTTCCCTCCATAATTTAAGTACGCTCTGGACATCAGTTACTAGGTCGCCATTATTGTTCTTACAGGAGTGCGCCCCAGTCTTTAAACCTTCCGTAAGTCGCCTAACTCTGGTAAAATTTTCGGGCATTCCTCCTGTCGGCCAGCATTTCAAGCTCTTCGCACTCACGTATTTCGGCCTCTCTCTTCTTGTTGCGGCAAATACGTCTCGCTTCCCTCTTCAGATCCCTATAGCGGTCCCCCATAGCGCGCGTTGCGCCCGATCGCAGCGTGGCCCTGTAGGCGGCATCTTTTTTCTCTGCAGCTTCCTGACACTCCTCATCATACCAGTTGTTCTTTCGGGCTCGCTGAAATCCGACTACTTCTTCGGCGGCGGTACTTAATGAGCGGTAAATGTGGTTCCACTGCTCGCATATGTCAGTTTGTTGAAGAGTGCTCTCTGAGAGCAGGTGTGAGAGTCGAGTAGCGAAAGCGCTGGCTGTCTGTTGTGATTGCAGCTTTTCGACGTTAAGCTTTCCTTGCATATTTGGGCGCACATTTTTTGCTACACAGAGGCGGGTGCGTATCTTGGCTGCAACAAGATAGTGGTCCGAGTCGATGTTTGGGCCTCGGAGTGTGCGTATGTACGTCTAAAACACTGGAAGCGTGCCTTCCGTCTATCACCACATGATCGATTTGGTTTCTCGTTTTTCGATCCGGGGACAGCCACGTAGCTTGATGGATCTTTTTATGCTTGAACCTAGTACTGCATACTACCATGTTTCGGGCCCCGGGTCGATCAGCCTCAATCAATCACCGAATCCAACACCGAATTTGCGCTCCTTTACATGGCAGCTGTAGTAGACGTCGCAAGGCCCCAGACATTGTTTGCCTTGCCCAGTCCAACGCATTTCTTGAATGGCGGTGATGTCAGCTTTTGTCCTTACGAGGACATCAACCAGCCGGGCAGAGGCACATTCCCCATTAAGGGTCCAGACATTCCAGGTGCATGCCCTCAAATCGTAGTCCTTTAAACGTTTGCCGTGGTCGTCATCATAAGGGGGGTCTCATCCGAGGCTTTGCCTTGCTTCTTCACTGGAAGTGGTTTTTACGTGGCGGGTCCCAAGCCCAGCGCACAACCCATTGCTGGCGCACAATATCAACGCTAAACTCGTGGAAAAAATGTGAGTTATTGGAAACCCCCATTTTTTTCCTTGAGTTTGGCGTTGATATTATATATCGACGGGGGCAAACGCGGCTCTTTGAGCCAAATGCGGCTCTTTGCTTAGCAAAGTGTGGCTCTTTTTACTTTCTCATTGCTTAGAACATTTTGGCTCTTTTTACTTTTTAAAATACATATTTCTTTGCTGGACATTATTTTCCATTGTGTTGTTTTTTTACTTTATTCTTTTTATATACACATACATTACATTATCTATACCGATATGAGGGAACATTTGTAAAATTTGAATTTATCTCTACAAGGAGAATAAAAATGTTTTTGATTTGCTACAAGTTATTTTATTTTATGAAGCTAAACTACGTCTTTTTATACATGATCTCAAAAAATAATATTTCACCATTTTCCATAGCTGGCAAAAATATTGCTCATGTCAAAGAGGATAAATTGGACTCCTATGTCGCAGAACTACATGATTTAGAAGCATGTATGCATGTGTCAAAGTCATGATTTTCTTTCTTAAAGTTAAATATAATAAAGAGCTTTAATATTTATGACAATACACATTTCGTTTTATTTATTTAGTCACGGCTGGAACGTCGTCGCGTACATATGTGCATATGCGTAGCTACTCGCTTGAGTGCTGACCCCATGCGACCACTAACGTAAAATTTTTGGAGCTAAATTTTTAATTTTTTTTTTTTAAGTTTGAAGTCGAAAATATGTTTTTTTTTAAGTTAACGATAATTAATTATTAATTAATTTTTTGATAATACACACTAGGGCGGGTCGAAAATCTAGTTTTTCTCAAATCGCTTGGTAATAGTGAAAATATATTGTATCATGAAGTCAACAACAAGCCTGCAAAATACTAGTCTTTTGTTTTAATTGTAAGGCCCGCGCATCGACCGTCGAGTGACACACAGCACACTAGTCGAATAAGACCAATTCTGGCTAAAAATTCTGGGTTCAGCAAAAAGTTTTCTTGCACATTATTAGATAATGAATCCGTTAACGCAACAGATAAAGCCAAATATAAATTCTCGCAGCCCTATAGCTTATCGTTAATCTCAAATTTGTCTAATTTCAATAAAATGTTTATTTTTCTCTTGATAATTGCACTGGCCTATAGTCATAAAATGTAAAGAACAGCATTAATATTGCTGGCATACATTTAGGTCGCTGGTTCCAAATATTCTAATATTTTCTTAATATTAGCTATAGTTTGCGAATTTTTGCAAATTTAGGAACAATTTCGGTAGCTCTAATAGAATAGCCATTATTTTCCATAACCGTGGAAAATTTATGTATATGCATGAGTATGGAAACATTGAACATGCACAACTTCTAGAAACACTAATTAGTTTACTTATGTTAATTCATACAATACAAAAATTACAAATATAGGAAGTTGACAAAAATTGTTGTTCAACATTTATTTTAATTTTAAGTAATTTTTTATAATCTGAACGATTTTCATCATATTATTATCATAAATCAGTAACAGTAAGTCTCGCTTTCAATTTGGTAGTTATTACGTACCGATCGGGTAATATTTACCAAAGTTATATCGAAAAACTTAGGTGGATCTTTGGTTTTTTTCTACAAAAATTTCTCTTCAATTATATGATTAACTTTTAAATAAACGAACCGGATTACAGAAAAGGGTTCCAGGGAGTGACTTTTTTCGTTCAACCTGAATGCAAAGCAATATCGTCCAATTGGAGAGTCCTCAAAAAGATTTCCCGGGATTTGTTAATGAATATTGCATTTACCTACAGTCACTTTTTAACATAATGGAATTAATTAAATAATTTATATCTAAACACTAAACGCCCCCTATTTTCATGTAACGGCAAAATTAGAACCGCGAAAAACGTGCTTCTTCGGTGATTAATGAAAGCATTGCGTTTCTCACCCTAAATGTATTTTGTTAATGTATGTACTTATGTGCTTGAAATACTATTAACTTATCAAACAATTCCTAATATTGGACAATATATGTTTGACTTCATTCACCACGATTTTGAAAAGTGACCAAATCGGCGTGACCAAGTCCATGGTACTCTTAATATTATGTAAACATACGAAAACATAAAAACGCTTGAAATAAATCTCGTCTCACTTTTTACATTCACTTGCTGTCTGAAGTAATGAAGAAGTGGAAATTCATAAGGGAAAATTATCATTGCAGTAAGTTTTATCTTAATATCTTAAAAACTTGTAGTCTTATTGAATAACGATATATGAACGTACAAAATCGACCCAGCCTAATACACACTTCGTTTTTTTTTATTTTGAAAACTCTTTTTTCAACACTTTTATTGGGGTCACAGGGGCCCCTTGCGACTAAACGTGTGATTTTCTTTATGCGAGAAGAGTTGGAGTTTTTGGAATTAAAAGAAGATAAGACACTGGAAATGCAACATAAAGCTTTGCCTTTGCTTGAATTCCGGCAACATGTACCAGATTTAAAATATCCGCCGTTGAAAATAGCTGGGTGCCGTATATTTAAAATTTTTGGTACAACGTATAAGTGTGAGTCTTTGTACTCTACAATGAAATTCGTAAAGTCAAAATACCGTTCACAATTGACCTACCAACATTTAACAGAACGGCTTTAACTGACGTAAAACAAGGTTTTGAAAATTTGGGCAGGGATCTTTTGAATTTTCTTTAATATCTATCTTACGTACATTACAATAATAATAAAATTAATGTTTTTGATTTCTAATAATAATTTTATTTAAAGATAAAATGTTTGTTTTTGTTGTGGCTCTTTTCAGCCTCGACCTTGCCCACCCCTGTTATATATCTCTGTACTAAATTGCAGCACTCGACGATGAATACTTCCAGACATATGTTGTGTTAAAACTTCAGCTTGTATAGGCGGTGCCACGCCTTCTTGATATATCGAAATTGCTTTTGATCTATTATCATCCTTGGATAGTCTGAAGTCGATGCCCGAAATTTCAAAAATATCGGTACAGCGTTTCTCGAGTTTTTCGAACCGAAAAAAATAAAAAAACAAGTAAGAGCAGCGCTGTCTTCGGCTATACCGAAGACTTCATACCTTTCATGAGCATCTGAAAATTTTACTTTAACAGATTACTGCATTTGAATAAATTTATATATTCACAGCAGACATAGATAGAGGAGATACATATATAAAAAATCATATCTAAACAATCAGAGGTATGGAAGATATACCTTATATAGCACCAATCTAAGTGATTTTCACTACTGTGTGATCGGTACGTAAACCGGTAACACAATTTAATGGGTTTAGCTTCCTACATAAAGGAGATACATATAGCGCAAGAACTGGTATCTGAACAATCAGTGGTACAAGAGATTATGATTATACAGCATAGATTTTGACGATTTTCTCAGTAGACTTTGTATTATTATTTAAAAAATAGCTTACGAAATTTATCGGT